TCCAAACCTTCAGCAGTCCAACAGGTTGCACGTTTGTCACCGGGATACACAAGGATTACTCCTGGAATGCAGAACGCTCCTTAAAATCCTGTAAAACTGCACAACTCACTTCCTTTCAACATCAGCTGAGCTACGCAGCACCGGGATAAAACACAGCGCTGGAATCCCACGTGGGACCCCGCAAAGGGAGCCCCGCAAAGAGCAGGGGGAGAGGGAAACCAGTGGGGTGCGGGGAATACGTAACGACACGGAGGGAAGCCCGCAAGGTGCGCCCACGGCACGCGCCGACCGCGTTCAGCGGTCGGGATTTCCAGCTCGTCGAGACGGATGTCCGAGCCGCGCGCCCGGGATTCCCGACCCGGCACCCGAGGCGGGAAGCGCTCGGATCCCGCAGCGCCCCAACGCTCGGGGCTCCCCGCGCCTGCTCGCAGCGGCTGCCCGACACGGCGCCGGGACAAAGAGCCGCCGGGACGCGGCCCGAGCGCGGGGCGGCCCGCTTCGTTCCCATCGCTCTTCGAAGCGAACAACGCCGGGCAAGAACCCCTCGGGAACGCGGAGAGCCGAGCGGAGCGCCCCGGGAAGCGGCGACCCGCGCGTCCCACCGCCCCCCGCGCGGCGCTGAACTCAGAGGGCCGCGGCACCGCCCGACCCGCGCCGCTCCGCCGGGGCTCCGCGCGGCAGCCGCTCAGGGCCGCGCGCCGAGGCGGGACGCGCCGCAGGTACGGCCGCTGCGGGGCGGAGGAGGGCGGCAGCGCCGCAGGTGAGGGCGGGCCCGGCCCGCGACGGAACGGCACGGAGAGGCCCGGCGCCGAGCCCCGCAGCGCGGCCGCTCCCCGGGCAGACGGCCGTCCCGCCCCCCACCGCCCACCTGTCGCGGGGGTCGATCCAGCTGGTGGTGCGGCTGCCGTGGTCGATGTAATACACCTTCCCGTCGTAGTCCCGCGCCTCCTCCCAGCCCGCGGGCAGCGGCAGCTCCTTCCGCGGCATCGTCCCCAGCGCCGGCCGCGCCGCCCCATGCAGCGCCCCGCTCCGCGGCGGAGGCCGACCCCGGGTTAGGGCCGGGCCGGGCGGGCTGCGAGGAGCGGAGCGGTGCGGAGCGGGGCCGCGCCGGCCCAGCCGCGCAGAGAAGCGCCCCGGGCGGCGGCGGCTCCTCACATGCCGGCCCCGCGGCGGGGGCGGGGCCTGGCGGGGGGCGGGACCCGGAGGGGCGGGGCGGGGCGGGAGAGCCCTCGGAACGCGCTGCGATGGGACCCGGCCCCTCGCGGCCCCGATCCCGCGCCGCTCCGCCGCCTCGGGCCGCCCCCGCTCCCCCGGCCGGGAACGCCGCCCTCAGGGCCCCGCCCCTCCGCGCGCGGCACCGGCGGGGCGGGCAGCGCCCCCTGCTGGAGGGGCGGAGGCCCGGCGGAGCCGGAACGGGGGCGTGGCCCCGGGGCGGGAGGGGCGGCCCATCGGCCCGCCCGCTCGTGCCCGGCAGCCGGCGTCTGCGGTTCGGCGGCGAGCGGCCGGCCATCTTCCGACGGCACAAATGCCCCCGGACGCGCGTGCAGCCGGCTTCGATTGACCCGAGGGACCGCCCCCCGCGTTCCCCTTCCCGGTCTTACCCCGCCCGCAGCGGCAGAGCTACGGCACGTCGGGTCGCCCTGCGTTGTCCGGGAATCTACAATGACGGCGTGCCTGCACTTGGCGCGGACCTTACGGCTCCCGGCTGCACGCGCTGCTGGCCGCCCGCAGGTTGCGGGGTTACGGCTGCGCGGGGCGCGTCCAACGCAGCCCTGAGCGCGGCGGTACGGCTCGGTGCCCAGCCAGCCCTGCGGGGAGCCCCGGCAGCCGGTAACATCGACGGCGGTGCTCAAACCCACCGGAGGTCTCTGACAAAGAGGAAAGTTTAATTCGGCCTTCCCCTATCAGAGCCTTGGACGGGCGATCCCGGATTTGGTTGATGTTAAACGTCAAGCGGCCTTTCCCACAGCGATAATAAACATAGCGCGCTTCTTCACGCTGAGAAAAGGAGTAGAATCCCTTGGATGAAGCGATTGACTCGCTTTTACGAGCCCCGCTGCCGCCGGCTGCTTCCAGCAGCGCGGAGCTTCGCCCGGCCCGCTGCCAGCCGAGCGAGCCCGGGCAGCGCGTGTGACGCACGTGGGGGCCGGGGCACAACGCGCCCGCAGCGAGGCAATGACCACCCGTCACCGCCCTCGGCGTGCTGCGAGATTTTTTTCCCTCAACCAAATCAAGATTTTATGTTTGTTTGTTTTTACCCGACTGCCGTAATGCGCGTGCTGCCGCGCGTTCCGCCGGGCGCGCAGTGCGGTGCCCCTGCAGCACGGCTCAGCACGGCTCAGCACGGCGCTGCACAGCCGGCCCTGCCCGCCTCGCGCCTCCGCGCCGGGACGCACCTGCGTGCCGCACACCGGCACCGCCGCGCCCCGCCGCACGGAGGGGCCGCGCAGGCGCAGATCGCCGCTGATCTCACAGCCCCCGCTGTGCTGTGGAGCTGTGCCAGCGCGTTGTAACCGCCTGCCTGCCTCACCTGGGCGGGGACCGCGCGTTAAGGTGGGGGTGGCATCAAAAGTGTCTTACAGCCCACGGAAGCAGGTTTTTCCTTTCTACTTCTGGTACGAATTTTTGACTGATGGATCTGATAGTATTGATTTATAGCATTAGGTGATGCTTCTTGAAATTCTGTTTTCATTTATATGTTTTCTTCACTTAATGAAGCACACTATGCGTGCCTGTTTGTAACAGCTAAGAGACCTGGGCTGCAGGCAGTATGATTCCAGCACGTTTCCATACTCAATAACAACATTAGGCTAGAAGCTGTCGTCTGAGGATGTAAAACTTCTGTAAATACGGTTTCTCCAGTAGCAATGCTGCTGAGCTGCTGTAACAGCACCGGCGGCGTTATGGTACCTTATCTGCCACTTTCTGTACTCGTGATGACCGAGCTGCCACTTCCGTTGTAAATCCTATTTGCTGAGGGTTCATACGCTGGCTACGTTCTCTTGCCTCTCTCCAAAAGCTGCCACACAACTCCCTCCCACGGTGTTTTCACCATTTCAGTATTGCTTTTTTAGCTCTCGGCTCAAGCTCTGCAGCAGAAGCCTGACTTCAGCCTCAGAACAGCTCTCAGCAGAGGTCAGGACACGTATCTTCACAAACAACATAATAAGGAGAAGCCTAATTTATTACATCTGATATGGATTTTGAACAAGTGCTGCAGAACTTCTGGGAAGAGGAAGCGTGGAAATGGAACCACAGGCAGCACGTGACCTCCTGCAGGTCCCCTCACACAGCTCTCCTGCAGGGAGTCTGGGCAGGGCTGTGCCACCAGGAGCTCACTGGGCTCAGGGGAATGAGACCCCCAGCACAAGTTGTTTGCATCTAGGAGCTCAAATGTGTTGCTGGGGACCTGTGCTTTGGAATCCGTTCACACATGGGGATAAATGGTCTCTAAGTATTAACTACGTGACTGGACCAGGTCCAAAAGTTGTTGAAGAGTACCCTGATGATGCACATATTATTTGCAGAGGAACCTGTCCTTCTGAGTGCTTCCCCTGCAAATCTGCCCCCAGGAAGTAATATCACAAGTGGTGCTTCGCTTTTGTTTCCTTCTGCAGAGGATAAAGAGAAGTAGCAAAATTTAAGTCTGAACAGTTTCAGCTTTAGGACATTGTTAAGAGAACAAAGGAAAAACAAGGCTGTGCAGCAGGTTCTCATTTCCAGCCTCTCAGCTGCAAGAAAACTTCTATTTTAAAAAACGACCTAAAAAGCTCACCAGTACAGACCAGAGCATTCAGGAAAACCGTGACAGTGAGAAGTGCTTCCACCTTGTGATTTGATGGTTTACATTTACACCAAAAGTAACAAAGTAAGCTCCATGAATACCCACCTAATATTTCACTTCTTTAATAAGTTTCACTTCTAGACAAGTCTGATAACAGCACTTCACATCTATCAGCACAGAGTAACATCTGCAGCGAGGGACATATAGGGCTTTCTCTGAAAATATACCCAGATTGATCCTTCTGAGAGAACAGGGCCTGGGGTGCTGGCACATGCAGTGCACAGGGGAGCACACAGGTGCAACACTGCGATCGGAACAGGATGGGTTCTGTTTGCTCAGCAAAACTCAGATGGGCTCTGAGTGCGATAGGTGCTGCACAGCACTGCCACCACGCTGTTCTGCTTTAGACGTGCCCTGGAGTGAATTAATGCCCGTAATGAATTCAAACATCTCTGCTGATACCATGAATCATTAAAAACCTCATCTGCAACCCCAAAAGCTCTCAAAATTAAGTGGAGCTTTCTGACTACATACTTAAACGAGATAAAAGCAGCAGGGCTCTCGCTGATGCATGGTTCCCTTTTAACATCATCAAGAGTGACTGTTAGCTCAGGAGAGGGTCTTTGATCTTACCTCCCATTTGTAAATGCGTTAGAAATAAGCAATCTCACAAAGAAGACAGATTGCATGGGGGCTCCGGGGCTCACAGCAAGTCCTTCCGTCTTCCATTTAATACCATGTTACTGCATTTTCAAACAGTCTGGAAGTTTCTTTGGTGCAATTAAACTAATTCCAGGATTGTAAGGTCACTAGTCATGAGATGCAGAGAGAGCTGATAGGAGCATTTACAAATTATTTTGTTGCCATAAACAGGTGATGCTTATGTAAGACTTTGCTTACCCAGAGGTCAAAAGAACACCCCTCTGCAGAATCCATGGTACAGTGATCACTTCTACATATTGGACGCTGTACACGAGATGACAGTGGCACACCACGATTTTTCTCATTTTCAGAGATTTCACAATAGAAGACCATTAATTCACAGGAGTTTTAGAGACTTTATTTATGTATAAACAATTTAAACACTTTGCCATAAATTATCTTTGCCTGTCTCTAGTCTTTGCTTAGCAGCAAATTAAAATTAATATAAAAACTCAATGAACAATTCATACATGTATATTACAAAAAAGTTCTTGTACCAAAGTTCTTATTAGACTTTTTTTTTTTTTTTTTTTTTCTTTTGTGGTGACTGTAATGTGATTGTCTCAGTTTCTCGACCAAACAAACACACTAATAATTTTTAAATCTGAAACAGTGATTGTGCCTTCTGGCTGATGTATGTACAGGGTGATCTGACGTGGTGCCCATTTGCAATAGTGTAACACAATGCCCACAGCTCTACTGGAACTGATACCAACAAACTACTGAATCTAAACAGACTACACCCTGTAACTGTGTTATACTGTCCACAATGGAAATCTTCAAAGACAAACAGAGTATGAAATTTATTTGTAGTGATTTATAGCCACCATTTTGAATGTAACTTTACACTCTGCCCTCTTTGAATAAGTTAAGCTTCAGGCCAGACAAATGGAGGGTCAGAGTGCAAGTGCGGTTTTGTTATTTTAAATATAGTTTCCTTTACTATTTCCAGTGTGCTCTCACTTGCATTCTCCTTTTCCTCCAATTGCTACACACAAATCACCCCAAAGTCATGTTTTAAATGCACCTGTATTTTGCTTTAAATGAAAACCTCTTAGATATTTATCAAACAAGCAGTCTGAATCGTTTGTGTTTCATCAGCTGGTTAGTGAAAGTGGCCCACTTGGATTTCTTAGTTTGCTCACGTGTGAATGAAGTGAGGTAATACAATACGAGGCCTTCTTTTTATTTTTCCTTAGACCCAGAACAAGTGGGTAATATTTCAGGGGTACTTTTAAATTTGTATGGTTAGAGTTTTCAGTCAGGCTTTAGTCCACTTCAGGATGTGGTTTTTAATCACTTGAACAGTAGCATTTAACTCAAAAAATATGAGCTTTTTTGCCACTTGCTATCCCAAAGTAGCTCAGCCTAGTGCCCCCATGTAGGTCTTCATCTCCTTAGGAGAGGAGATAACAGTTATGACTACTGATTCATCCATCAGAGGATGACAGCAGTTTAATTTGTTACCTCTTTCCCATTTCATTCTGTCTTAAAAACTGGATGTTGCTGCTACTGTCTGCTAGCTCTGGGTACTGCTCCACAGGCAGGACATAATATCCCTCGTAACCTTGAACCCTTCCCGTGTTCAGAAGCTGTTGCTTCTCTCCGTCTGTCCATACGCGGCTGCCCTCGCGGCCATCCCGTGCCTTCTGCTGCTCTTTGGCCCAGGCCGACCCCAGGGCTCGCTGCCGAGCCTGGTCTAGCACTCGTGCCTTTTCCTCATCCAGCGTGTCGGCGGTGAGCCCGTAGCGGATGTTGATCAGCAGGGTGGAATACTGGAACTCGATGTTTGTGAACCGTCGAGTCCTTCCATTGATAAGGAGGGTTGGCTGGGAGACGGTCACGTTTACTCCGCTGTCCAGGACCTTCCTGCCGCTGGTCATCGCGAGGGTGACGAGGTCGCTATCGGCTGAGCCTATCTTGACAAAGTAGTGAGTATCCTTCCCCTCGATGCTGTAGTGCATTTTTTCCAGGTAGTGAGCACTGTTAAGGACAGAGGCAATTTTTCTGCTATCGTCTGTGGCTATGCTGGAAATGCCAGTGGTTACACGGCCTTCCTTCACAGCAAACATGATTCCTTTCCCAATAATAGGAGTGCTTGTTGCAAACCAGTGGCCTGCTTTTTCTCTAATACTGGCATGTAATTTTTTAGATATGACCTGTCCCTCAAGAGCCATGAAAGCTTGATTGTGTCTTTCTGTTGTCTGCTGGACTCCTGTAATTAGCTGGAAAAAAACAAAACAACAAAGAAGATACAGACCTGAAAATGCTGTTTTCAGAGAACAGTGCTAATCTTTGTTTTCTTTTTATAAAGGCAAGTTGCACAATGAAAAACTGTGTGGAAAGACCACTCCCTTCCCATATAAAACTACATCCAGAATTGGTATAAAAATACATTTGGCAAATAATTTTATAATCAGTAATGGCAAGTAAAAGATTATGGTCACATGTGCTGGTTTACATCGTCACGTCGGTTGTGCAAGTTTAGCACAGACTGTTTGAAAATGGCCTAGCATTTCTTTTAAGTATATTAAACTGGTTGGAATTTATGATGAAGGCAGAAAGCATATACCATATCCCAGCCTTAACCCCACAAGTGCACGTGAAGACCATAACTGACACTAGCTGTAGTAACAGAAGTAGGAAACCATAGCCTCTTCCTATGACAATCTTCAAGAAAAAAAAGCAATGAAAAAGCTTGTACAGGGTGGGGAGCAAATTCATTTCTTAGCAGTACAATGAGTACCAACCTAAGTTCACTGCGACACCCACATTATTAGGTTAATTTTACCAATGGTACAACGGATGATAAATTACCCTGCAAAGTTTCCTTTTGTCATTGTTAATCGAGTTAATCAAATTACAACTTGTTAATCAAGGAAAAAGTCAATAAAAGACAAACTAATGACACTGTAATTATGATAACGAAGGCTGGCAAGAAAGACATATGTTCATTAAAATAAAATCTAGCTAAATTCACTTTTGTTTTACACTGAAATAAATCCTTGGCCTTGCACTGTAACTACTGAAGAGCCAGCGGTTCTACTCACAGAGAGAGGCAAATTTATCAGGAAAAAGGACTTCATGTTTCTGCCTACCTGTCCATTTTCACACGCTTGACTCTCAGTCAACTCATACGGCGGTGACACAAAGTACATTTTTGCTCTAGGGAAACCAGGAATAATGTTGCTAAGCTGAAATCCGAACATCACCAACCAGCTTTTGACATCTAAAAATCAAAAGTAAGGAGGCAAGTAAGAAATAAATGTGCACACGTACAATAAATCCACAGATTTAGGAAATCCACCTTTGACCTCATTTGTTTCAAGTAGCAGTTTTCAGAACAGTGGTATTCCACAGTGAACAAACATGGAATATCACCTCAAATACATCCTAAATAGTTCATCAGTGACACACAACCACTTTCATTCATTCTTTTTCCACGACTGCACATGGAACACTTTATGCAATATTTGTCCCATCTCTGACACCTTCTGATGAGGTTAATGAAATCCATAAGCGATACCGTAAAATTATGCTGTATTAGGTTTGCACTCCTAAGAACAGCTACAAAGTGTTCTGGCAACATGCACGGCTTCTCTTCTTATCTGCTCCTCCTAGCCGTCCTGAGGTCCCTGGAGGACCCATTAACTGCAGTCAGATGCTTCAGATGTCCGCCTTCCACAGCGCAGCTGAGCCTGCTCAGGCAGGTGCAGTGGGAGTGCAGGAGGAAAGGGAGGGTGCTGCAGGGCAGGGTCTCACCTCAGCCCAGGGATGTGCTTTGGGGAGCTCCAGCTCTCAGCTCGACATGACAAGCCCTGTCTTCTTTTCTAGTTGAAAGTGCCCACCATGCCCTGCTTGCTGCTGCGGAGCCCTGGGAACTGAGCACCATGCACTGCCAGCCCCTAGGGCATGCATGGCCATGAGCCAGCATCTGTCTGCTGCTACAAAGCCTCTTCTCCCTAAAGATTCAGCGGTTGCCTCATAAAAAGTGTAATATCTGATGGTCGTGGACATCCTAATGTGTAGTATTGATTGTAAAGTGTAATACTTATTGGTTGTGACAGCAAACGTCTCCTTTTCTCAACTGTTCTGACAGTAAAATAAGTACTAAAATATCCTGTTTGTATGAAGATATTTATACGTATTTCCAATTACATGAGGGAGAAGGTTTGGTTTTTTTTTTCACCATGAAATCCGAGGTGCCAGCATAATTGCTTCCTGTGCAATACGATTTGCTTAGTCCATATAGCAACAAACGTTTTAACCACGAATGAATTATTTTTGCAGAGAAGGTATGTGCTATACCAAAAGCAATGCATTTCCTGGGACTTAATCCAGTAGATGGATAAATAAAACAAATGCAAATTCTGAATATAGCAAAATATCAGAAGATGGCATTGAAGGTCTAAATCAAGCACTGATAAATGAAAACAGAATTTTGTTGCATTTAAGACAATGAAGTTCGATCCCAAAGTAATTTTAGTCAATATTTCTCACACTAGGAAGAATCCCACTATCTTCATATTGCAAAGAAGCTACAGTGGAGGCGATGGTATGCCACACCTGTGACTGGGTCCCAGAGAACAAAGGAAACCTGCTACAATTTTCTTTGAAGGAAATGCACGCTTTTCTTGAATTTCAAAGTACTGCTAAAATTAAGATAGCTCCTTTTTTAAAGTATCACCACTCTAATTACTGTATACAAGAGATTCAACTTTGAAAAAACCTTTTCTTAAATACACGTTAATTAACTTTCTTTTTGGAAATTGCCGGCAGCCAGTTCAAGTACTGCGTGATCTTACTAAGTGAAAAATTATTACTAATTAAGAAGAGGTTACAAGTTTTACCCAATTCTAGCATGCACAATCAAAACCACTTTATTGTTTCTCTCTGAACATGTGCCATAAAATTTATTAAGTTTTCCAGGAGAAAATAATAATTAAAAAATAAAAAATAAAATTTTTGTTGTAGAGACTAAAAACTGTTTGCCTATTAAAAGATAGATGGGGAAAAGAGGTTTAATTAAATCCATTCTTGGTGCTAATACGTAATGTGTCTGTGGGCTCAGTCAGAAATTAATTCTGAAAGTAGCCCTGAAGGGAAGAGATTCCAAGACATTCTGGCTCTTGATTCTGCTTACTAACCTGCTTACTGGTAACTTCACATCGCTTTACATCTTTTACAAACACATCTCCATACGGTACTGAGTTCAAAAGGAAGAGCCCTATGGGTGAGCTGAAATTGAGTATTTAGGCCAAAATTATGTTTCCTTCTTCCCATTTTTCTCTGTGGTTTCTCATTTCTTGCCCTTCCTTCAGGGAGGAGCATTATCAAAGAATCAAGAGTAGCCAGCCCTTTCCACAGCATAGAAAAGAAAATAGCCCAATCTTGATGCTCTGATACCAATATATGGCTAGTAAGGTGAATTCTGATTCCCAAATGAACTTCCGAATGATAGTGTTATTTAAACAAAAATGCAACAAAGTCTCACCTGTTACATAATTCTTTAGATCCAGCTCATTGCTGAGAGGGTTGTTACTCTTGAACATGTACAAATTGAAAGGAGCAGGTTCTCTACCAATGTTTTTCCACATTGTGTAATCAGGAGATGTCCAGCGTCCAGCTAGGACATCGTAGTCCCTTTGGGTAAAATGGACGAGTTTGGTTAAAGGATCATACAGCCCTCCATGGAACCCAATAACCAGCTGGAAATCGGGGTTTGAGTCATAATAAATCTCCCCATATGCAGTGTACTGAAGCTGTTTGATCATGAGGCCATTGATGCTGAATACGGCTAATGGAGTGCCTGTGTTATCGGAGGCGACGTAATATTCTTCCCCACTGCTACTCTCCATTGCAAAGAGGTGGCCTTGCAGATCGTAATACAAAGAGGTAATTTCTGAATTGGAATGATTGTAGACATGTGTTACTCTTGTTGGATTATGAAGATCAGCATAAAAGTATTGTAGATGATGCCCTAGGTTAGTCTTACAGGAAGCCCTTCGGCCAAGTCCGTCGTAACGGTACTGAACGTTCCAGCCATTTGCTTTGTTGTAAGCTCTTGTTAAAAGTCCTTTTGAATTGTACTCAAATACATCCGAACCTCGTTGACACAGGAATCCATCATCATCTATTTTGTATGGTATGTCACCTAAGCGCGTAATCCTGTCTCTTAGGTCGTAGCGCAGGGGCATCAATCGAACACTGTTTCCAGGATTCAGGAGGTGAAGATTTCCATTCAGGTCATAACTATAACGCCAGGTAGGCCTATCATTTACTGCTACGCTTTGCAATTGCCCATCTCCATCATAATCATAGGTATACTTGGTTGTGTTGGCATACGGCCCAAGTTTCAGTTCTCTTTTAGTTACTCTTCCCATGCTGTCATATTGCACAGTCATCCAGTACATCAGGGATCGGAACATTTCATACTGAACTTCTTTAATGCGTCCATGGGTATCAAAGTGCTTACTCAGTGTCATAACTGCTGTAGTAATAATTTGATTTATATCATAATAAATAACTCCAAATTTGCCAAAATGCTCAACTTTGCCAGAAATCTCATCATAACGGTAAAGATCAACCGGAAGAGGCGTCTCACTTATGATGGGTTTGATGCTTGCGATTCGAAAACTATTGTCATGATATGTATAATCAAACCTTGCATTGACCATACCTTCTTCAGAGAATCTGTAGATTTGTTTGTCAACGAGAGGACCAATTTTACGATAGCGGATTGTGCAAGAAAATCCTCCACTTTGCAAATTCACCATTTTTAGGACGCCTGTAGTTTCATCGTATCCAAAAGTAACTGCAGTACTGTCATAAACAATTTCTGATAATTTGGATAGCTTTCCATACTTGTAAAAGACTTGTCGACCAGTACCTAAAAATGATGTTTTCAAAATCCTCCCATCATCACTGTAATCAAAAATCACTGATGCGTTGCTTTCAGGAGGATTATAAATATTCCTAATGTAGCCAACAGACGTGTGAGTTGACATGCTATGCCGAGCAACGCTAGGCATAGTAACAGCATGGAGCCGGTCTGAAGAATCATACTCAAAGATGTACTGCCGCTGGCTCTGAAGTAGTAGTACCATTGACTACGGAAAAAAAAACAACACAACACATTCACAATTATTGTCTTTTAGCCTGTGACCTCTGAGAGGGCATTTAAAGAAACACAAGTTTACTAAAGAGGCAATAATGTTAAATTAATAAAAAGAGACATCTATATGTTGGTTAGGGGCACAAAGCTGCTCTGGAGTATTGTCAGATTGCCAGATGAAAGGATCTGCTACTTGGAAATCAATATGCTGACACTCCAGAGAAAGTGTAGGTTAGTAACCTATTAGCTACCCTCTCTTTAGTAGGATTTTTTCTTTCTTTCTTTTTTTAAGGATGAAATGGAATTTGGTAAATGAATTGACTGATCTTTCTGCTAGCAATTGTAATGCACAGCTATTGCTGTGAAGCAAGTGACAAACTAAGCAGCGAATGGGTTCAAACAACAGATTCAAAGAAGGGAAGGAGAAAATAACATGCAATTTTCAGGTATTTAAGCTTCTTTCACTATTAAAGAGTCTTAATTAGGATAAATAAAAATGCATTACAGTATTTTCTTTTAATTCATAACGAGTAGAGATGAATTGCTTGTTCTACCTGAACCTTTGGTCAGATTTAGTAATGCATTTTTGTTCTTAATTAAGCATGACTCATTGCGTTAGTTTATGTCACCATGCGGTGGGTGGCCAGTTCACTTTCAGGAAAATATCAAAAGATACAAACAAAGAACAAAGGATTTCCTATTAAAAAATTAGTCAGATTCAGTTACTAATTGAAAAATATAATATATGAGATCAAGCACAGTGGGATTATTAACAGCTTTTTTAATATGTAACTGCATATGTTATATTTTGGGTAACTTCTGTGTGAATTTATTACAGATGGAGCTTAAAATGAAGCAACGAAGTAGTCCTGTCTCTTTGTAACAAATGTCAGAATGTCAAACGACAGCACCTACTTTTTCTAGGTAGGTGTAACTCCAAACCTTCCCGTCTGCAAACATGCGCGATATGATCCTGCCTTGCTTGTCGATGTCTGTCCTTTCACTCATGGCTCCGCGCTGAAGCCCCGCCAGGCGCCCGTTGAAGAAATAGGACACGTTGACAGCAGCCAGGCCGCTGCTGGGCAGCCAGAGGAAGGGCCGACCCAGCTGATCATAAATTATCCTCAGGGTAAACTTGCGGTGATCATCGTAGATTTTTTCAGTGCGTATATTTCGGTCGTAATCAATGGACAGTAAATTCCTTCCATGGACCTGTTGAAATGAACGAAGGCTGTATTCAGTGAGCGCTGAACTTTTGAAAGTGTAGGATTCAGACTGACAGGCTTTCTTATTTCACTTCTCAGTAATTTTGGATGTGCTTTACGTGTCTTACTGGGCTGTCTCCCAAAGCTGTGATCTTACAGACAAAGGATTCCCCCGTCACAAAGGACAGACATACTGCATACCTGGGTCTTAAATTGCAGACTGTTAATAATTAACAGCAAAATGAGTGATTTCACATGGAAGTAACTGTTTCACATCTGTCACCAGTAGTTCTAACTTAGCGCTTTTCCCTACAGTGACTTCATGGACAACAGCAAAAAATCTAATTTTATATCTTCTTGGAGGTTTAACTACTTAGGCACCTTAGTTGGAACACCCACTTCTTAATTCATGCCATTAATGTTTTCATTTACTTTCCAAATGTTCAACAGATTCCTCAAGCAGCTCAATTACTCACAATGTATTTCATTTCTTCTGATCAAAAACCCCAGCTGAGCAGGCTGGGATGGACTTCTAGTTGTGCAAAACAAATGTTCTAAGTAGTTAGGTTAAATGTTTTTCTTCTTATCTAGTTTATCTTAGTTTTTAGTTAGTTTTCAAATAAAGGCACAGCATGAAGTGTTTCAGTCCAAGATTTTTTTCATTCTTTTTTGAATTAATAACAAAAACAAAAACACCACAAAAAACAAAAAAAAAAAAAACAAAAAAAAAAAACCAAATGCAATGCAGAAACAAAAGAGCATAAGAATGCAAAATGGTGAGGTTTCTAGTGAAAGCACTATAATGAGAGATACATCAAAATAATCACTGGAGGCTAAGCCACAGAATTCAGGCTAATGCTATAATCTGATAAAGCTTCTTAAGTAATTTAATTGTAGATGCGTCATTAATAAAGTACAGGTCTTTAAATTAGATATCATTTGACAGCAATGACTGCTTAGAAAGTATTCATCGGTTTCTGGGAATTTGTTCTTCAGCTTATATTTTTCAGTAGCTTTGATTAAGCAACGTTTTCTGTTATCCAAAATTAAACCGCACATCAAACAATATGTAAATTAACCCTGAGCCTTTCTCGCAGACATGAAAGTTATTCACAGATCTTTTCAGTGGCAGGGGTAAACCCAATTCCCATCACAACCGACTCTGCAGGAATTCAGTTGCACTGACAGCAAATTTAAAATTAATACAATTTTGTGTTTGTAAAGAAGTAATTATTTCAAATTATCGCTCATTATCCTCATTTTTTCCATTAATAAAATTTAGCTCTTTAACAGTCTGCATTTCCTCAGTGGCAATCATTAGGAAAAGCTTTTCTGTAGTTTTCCCCAAATGCTTTTCCAGCAACAACTTCTCCTGTGAGTCAAAGCAAAGGCACGGCATGGTTTTCACAACATCTTAGCAAACTAGATCATGCTCTGCTGTCCCAGCTTCATGGAAACAAGGCTCTGGGAAGCAAAGTTGACACCAGCCCATTCTCAGCCAGTTCCTCTGCTTTTGTAAACGTGAGGTCAGTTCTCATGATGGGGAGGTGTCAAAACCCTTTCCTGCACAAAGGTCTTGGTAAAGCAAGACAGAGCTTTCACTTCTCAGAAGCACGTAGCTATAACATTAAAATAAAAGAGTAGGATATGACAGAAAGAACTTGGTTTTTTAAATGATAGGCAGAGGTTTTTAAAAAAGTATTTCAGAAAGATCTTCCCTTTTCCCAAAGACACTATAAAGGGAATTAGATTTCATTTTTCCCCAAAGATAACCCAAGTATTAGTTTTTTGAAATGATTACACCACATAAACAGCACTCGGAGAATAAAGAAACCTCTGTTTGGATAACTCAGTAACTTCATTTTTGTTTGTAAAACAAGTAAAGCCACAGAGTCTAATTGTGGTGTCATATTAATTATACAGAAACCCAAACAGAATGACTAACTCCCACTCTTCCTGGGAACATTAATAACACTGCTGTAAATATCGTGACTGGGGATCATCTCAAAAGCCGTTTCTCTTTTGTTCTGCTACCTCTGTGCACATCTCTTTCTTCCTCTCGCTGCTGCTGAACAAGAGGCAACAGGGCAACCTCCCTTCTGTGCGCTGGTACAAGGTCCCACTACATAAATCACTTAATTGCAGCGTATCAGAAACTCTTCTGAATGAAATCTGATCCAGGCCCTGTCTGAAATACTAGCGAGACGTTGGACGTGTGGCACTGAACTAGTGGTGGGTGGGTGGGGGGAGGAGGATCCCACTTCTCCTCACTTCTGTTTGTGTGCCTGGTACAGCTCACAAGAAGTGATAACAGCCACTGAAGGAATGACTGCACTGTTGTCTCCAGCTCAGACAAAGGGGCTGTACTTGCATTCGCATTCAGCCCTGCTAACACTTAAAGAGCGACTGCAGGACTGGAGATTAACAGTAGTTTCTCATAAGAACCAGGTCCATAGAAGAACACTTTCTGCTAAGCACTGCGGTCCCTGCGGCCTGGCTGGTGCTGCTGGGCACTGCACCTGGCACAGCTGGCACAGCTGCCCTGCCCAGCACTGCTCCACACCCGCTTCCCAACGCAGTTGCTGTATTTCATTCACTAAACAATTTATAAAGATGAATTAGGATAAATGAGATGCAAATAAATTCTATGCTTTCTCCCTTGCTTTCAGATTTCATTTTCAGTCCACTCAACCTGTTATAATCTCACAGCGATTTTCATTTAAAAGAGCTAAATGGATATGTGATTATTGTTACAGGAACTAACACCAGACAATTAAATGTTGAGGTGTTGCTAGATAAAGCAGTGTTTTCATTTGCATAAACATGATGCAAGAGAATCCATCTCAGGCAAGGTTTCAGCTCGAAGACGTGTTTAACTCCATTTAATTACCACAAGTACCTCTATTAAATTTTTAGTATCGAGAGTTAGGATTACAGCAGTTTTCATTTTAAAGTCCTATTTAGTTTTATTTTGAACACCTAGTCAAAATGCAGAGCTGATCTATTTCTACTTACAGTCAATTTGTGCAGGTCAACACATCAAAAATCAATTACACGGCCATGAAATTTAGTCATTAAGGATTACCTGCTAATCTCATTCAATTTTTTGTCTAATCTTCCCTCTCACACGAATATGTGCATATTCTGAGGATTTGTGAAAATAAGGGAAGAATGTGAATTAGATGTTAAGCAAGAGTAAAATACCAAAATTTAACATCCCAGTCTAATTTAGTTTTACAAGTAGTTGGCTAAATACATTGCATTTATTATGGTCATCTTGAACACACAGTATTGCATCTCATGACCAATGATATCGAAAGAATTATTAAGACCTGGATCAGTGCTACATTTTTTCCTGCCTGGTATCTCAAAGCCCTTTCAAAACTGCATATACTGTGGAAACAGGAGAGCATTTGGATATTTAACAGGTGAAAAAGAGCATAGGTGAGAAGAGAATGGGATCGATCTGGATGTAGCAGATCTTTAATTTTGCAGGGGATGGCTCACATGACTGGGGTGTCTTTCATTTCCTATGCTTATGACTTTGTAATTATGGCAATTATTTCCAACCATGCCACTTAGGAAAGGGAATCAACACAGTCTGCCAGACTGGATGAAACTGTAGGGGGATTTTAGGTAAGCAGAATGTAACTGCTCAAACTCCAACTGTGTGTGCTTCAGAGGACTGACTGGTTAAGTGTGACATGAGATTTTTACAAGTGGTCAGCTTCTTTTTCTTTCTCACTTGCAGCAATATTCTGGGTATTTTTACCAACCTCTTGTGAATGAAATTTCTGTAGCTTATTACAGATGATTCCATGTACTTAACTGGCCTCTCAAATAAAGAGATTCTCACACCAAAGACAATCCTAGAGTCACACATTTTAAAGAAGTGAAAATAGAAAAGACGTTATTCTTCAAAATGGAAAGCTGTCAGCCCACAGGAGAAAAGATCATTATTGTAACGCTGCCACTACAATAATTCTACTTACCCTGAGCTTTCTTCCAAACACAGTCACTTTGCCTTTAATCTGTTCTTTCCTCAGACGCCATTCAATTGAGTTCAAACCATTCTCCATTGGTAGAGAAATATTACATCGTCCTATGGTGGGAGTTACTGTCCCAGCCAGGACATGAGGTTCGCTGTGAAAGCTAATACTCATGCCATTGGCATACATCACTCTCAAAGTACCATTATTACAGAGCTGGTAGCTGTTCCTCACTTGATCTACAGCAATAACGAAAAGAAAATAATTTAGCTACTCCAGTCATAAAGAAAACATATAGCTTAATTTGATTGCTTTTTTATTGCACTCCTGTTGATGTTAAATGAAGTCAGCCTGCAATTACCACTTACGTGGTACTATGGTGGAAATTACAGATGTTACTGATTCATGTAAAGAACAGTAGTGTAACAGTGAGCCTGCAGAGAGATACTATGTTTATTTCATTACATTTTCCCTTTAGTCTTAATTATGAATCAAAATGCACAGTGATATACTGCAACCACGTAATTTATTTCTAATATGAGCAAAAAGTCCTGAAAACTGAACTGCTGGATAAACAATAAAACATTAAGCTCTAGGATAAAAAGAAAAAAAAAAAACCCACACAAACTGTTAGACTCTTTCTGTGTGTGACCAAGTAAGCTCCTCTTCTTTTCCTGTCTGTTTAGAAACTGTCTCCAAGCAGGCGCTTTGAACAGAATTAGTTTAGCTTTAAATCCTCAAGGTATGAGGCTCCAACAATACAAGCTGGCAGCCACAGTCCTTTCTTTGTCATTCTTCATTCTGCCACACAAGAACTGCACTAGCCAATCACACCCCCGGCCTTTCTGCTCGCTGAGGAAAGTTATAAAAATAATCCAGTACTTTGACGGCAGTGCTATTCTCCCAGCTTTGACACAGTGAGGTCTGTTCTAAGACAATGAGGAGAGAGGGCTACAGCGGGCAACTGTCACCAAAGCATCAATATTTGTCTGACAAAAGGACAGCATCTACATAATTAATCATCTGGTACAAGAGAAAGAAAGACTTTGGAACCAGACATGTCGCAGTATAATAGTCTATAAATGTTGACGTTTATGTCAGGAGGAGGCTATTTTTCAGTGACGATATTCTTATGCCAGTGACATTGTATCTTAATTTAAAAGCCCTCATCATTCACCAAATCCCTTTCAGTCTGTCTTTGATAACTGTGACTGCTTTCGCTTTGTCAGTTATAATGCTTGGGTGGTGCTGGGAAGCTCTACACAAACATTTAACCATTTTGTTGCTAAGCTTTTTGGACAGGCCTGGGCGTTACACCGTTCTCTCATGCGCTAACTGGGGCACAAGACCATCCACTGGTGCTGTTTTACATTTTATTTAATGGCAGCGTATACGTTTGGAAGATTCACGTCTAATCACAAAAGGCACCTGAGCCTCTTTCTCCACAAGGATTTTTACATAGACAGTCAACATTCATCAGCCAGACTGCATTTTGTGGCAGCAAAGTCAGATTTTGCAGTGAAGTACAGAGAGCAGTATTAGTGAGTAAAGAGAACCTGACACAAGAGGTAACAGCAGGACTAACTTTCATCAGCAGATAATGACCACACGTATTTGACACAAAGTATGATTGTGAAATGTCTCTTACCTGTCCTGAAGACCTGTCATTTTAGGAATGAGCTCTATGGGATTTTGTCTTGCAAACCTTATCATTTTTCCCCTGCTCATGACTGTACTTATGACACAAATCTTTTGAGAATTGCTTTCTCAAATTGTGTGTGTGGTTAGGAGATGTGCTGAGAAGTGCACTTTGGTACCTTGAACAACTGTATAGGAAGCCTCCACAGAGGAGAGATTTGTGATGACCGTGACATCATCATCCCGATTAGAATTCTCAATGTCGATGGTAATAGACTTTTCCATTTCTCGATGAAGGCTAGTTACCACTCCAGTGGGACGTGTTACATTGGTCAGGCGCCCTTCATGATCATAGCTAATAGAAAAGTTAGTAAGAGCAAAAAAGCATGAGGATATATGTTCATTTCAATACCCAATGTATTAATAATGCACCAAATTTTTGCAAAAATACAGAATGAAACAGATTTTCAAGAACATCCTGGCTATAACTATTTCTCTATTGTTGAAAGGGTCTATGATGATGAGATATTAATTTTAGAGATACTGATCTCAACTCCATTAGTGTAAATCCAAACTAGTCTCTTTTAAAATCAATTAAATTCTTACGGATATACAGAGTGATATGTGGATCCATTATAATTAGTAAATTCGTCTGTATTTTGATTGTTGCATTTAACTCTAAGGATGTGGCACCATTATGATACTACAATATACAATTGCATACGTTGCACATTTGCAATTGAATATTTAGTGGAAATTACTAAGTATGACTTTAAATGATATATCAAGGAGTAAACTTGCCATAAGAGATCAAAAAGACATCAACTCGAGAACATAATCATTTCACTTAGGTCTTATCTGTGGTACTGCATTGCCTTTTGGGGTGAATCTTTTGCCCATATAGATAAATGATAAGAAGTTCAGGTACGGGATAGGTTGGAGTTGCACAAAGGGCAGCAGTCAACACTCAGAATATACCTTAGAAGATGGATTAAGTGCTCCCGAGGCACAAAAATAAAAAATGAAGGTAAAAGGGCTCTCCATTAGTTTATCGACCTTACAGAAGCAGTTAAGTTTATTTAGAGGTATAAAGCCTGGGGAGGGGGCAAAGAAGGAATGCTGCCTGAAATTAAATTATTCTGTTTCTCCCTTTCCTTTTGTATGCTGTATTTCTGTGCATACATATGCTAAAGAAGCAATCCCTTGGATCTTTTAAGGGCAAGAAATGGGGACCTGAAACACAAAATCAGCATTCCTCTAGTTGCTGCAATTCTCTATTTGTGCAAGTCTCTCACCCAGCCGCTACCAAAGCGCAAAGGAGAAAGACAAGAAAAAATGTCCTGTGTAGATAAAGGGAAAAGTTTAGGTAAAGACTGAAACCAACTGGTCATCCTTTGGATGTAGAAATCCTGGGAGTGGGAAGCCTGGAAGAGAACTGGTAAATCCATTGCATTGCCTGAGAGTAGGAGAAGAGAAGAGCAGAACATTTAGTATCACAAAGCTGGATCATTTCTTTGTAGGTCAGTGTTTAGCTGCAAAGAAGAAAAAAAATCAGTGCTTTCAATGTGATTTTTTACAATTAAATCATTAAGAAACCTCAAAGTAGGCCACCTGAACTGTACAGACTATCTCCAAAATTAATATACAAAATAGACTCCTCAGTTAACGCAACTATAAATTATGCCTTTCAATCCATTGCAATTGGTTGCACTCATTCAACTGAATATGGAGGAGGAAGGAAAAAAATCACCTGTGGAGCAACAAGTCTTACCAGAACCAACGGAAGGGTTAGGCAAAGAAGTAAATCAATAAAACAAAGCATCATGCGACCTGGAAGGAACCAATAATATAGTGTGTTCATTCAAGCAGTTCAGGATCAAATAAAGATTAAGCAGCATTATTTTTTCTTAATAAAAGCCACAAGTTTCTACCCATTAAACTATAGATAGATAAATAGATAGATAGATAGATAGATAGATAGATAGATAGATAGATAGATATTTACTCTGTCAACAAGATACTGGATTAAACACAATACATTTAGGTAACCTACAAAAAGGGTTTTGGTTAACTCTTTATGAAAGTATTTATAAGAAATACTGAAATTACTCAGAAAGCATAGATTAGTAGAGAACTTGATCCAGCCAAAGATCCACCTAGCAAGGGAAACAAGAAGCACCAAAAATAGACCTTTGGAAATCTAAAAGGTTAATAATGGGATAGCCCCTAAGAATCTGTATGTGACGACGTCTGCGTGCCTATGATTAGCAAAGGTATGAAGAGAATACTTAGGTGCCAAATACTGCAGAAGAGACAATATTACATAGGACAAAACTACAAAAGTTTATGAGTGGCTTCAGACTATGTAGAGCTTGGATGAATTTCCAGAAAAAATGCTGGTGAAATTCCCCATCAGCAGATATATTTTAGGTAATGCAAATGAGACAGATTAATTTAAACTTCTCATTCACATTGCTGGGTTTTTAATTAACTCAGGAAAAATTCCTAGGGATTGCTGTGGGCTACTCACTGAAAATCTCTGTTTAAAGTCCAAGGACAGCCTAAAAGTAAATATGGATGAGGATGGACAGAGATTGAAACAGAAAAATGGAAATACTCTAATGCTGTTTCTACAAATCAGCGTTTTGCCCCTTCTCTCTCCCAGGGCATTTTCCTCAGTGCTGGTCACAGTGTTTGAAAACAAAAGTGGCAGATCTTAAAAGGGTTTATAGGACAACTGTACTCTCTATGATCTGCAGGCCGTTTAGTTTATGAGCTAGGCATAAAAGAACCACTACCTAATAATATATACAGATTGCAATACCAGTGTATAAAAAGGAGGCATTACTGTTTTATGCACTGCATCAATAAAATCCTATTAAAAAAACATGAAAGGTAAAAAATTTAAACTAAATAAACCAGAAAACTTTTATGTACTCTGTAATTTAGAAGTGACATATTATTGAGATTTCTTTTGAATTTATGTATCCTTGAGAGCAAGTGCTTAGCAGACTACAAAAACCAGGCATCTATCTGAATAATAAGAATAGAGATATACAGGAATTAAATGGTTATCTAACTTCCTTCTTCATGACACAAACCCGATTCTAATCGAGTTAGAAAAAAAAGAAAAGTTGGCAATATAAAAATATACTGGGACTTGTTGTGTCTTAGCTGGAAGCAGCTACTACACATCACAGCACGACACAGCATCAGGCTGGATGAATGAGATCTGATAAGGCCATCTGAGTGTCTTCACTTGAGGTGGATTCTGGATACACTGAAGTTACGGAGCTTCTGTTACTCCAGTTAGAGCACAGTTTCATTGCATATTTGCATTCACTGCATATTAAAATAGTTGGCGTGCGTGCTTTTCTGCATGTACACATGCACACATTGATATGTGCAACAAACTGAAGTCTGCGAGAATTGTTAGGGCACAGATATACAAATGAGGTATAAAATAATTGGATTATTTTTGTAACTAAGGCCTGGTACAGAAATACCCTTGTTAAAACGTTAAGGAGCAAAAACCTTCGAATCTCTACCGAGTCCTTGTGAAAACCAGGCGTTCAATTTCCAGGGCCACGTTAGAGGAGGACCACGAGAGGGCACTGCCTTCCTTTGCAAGGAAAAGGCATGGTGGGCAAAGCCCTGATGAGCAATGCTAATTTCGATATATTTTGAGCAGACTGAACACCGTTCCTTATAATCCTGCATTAGTTTTCTCTAAAAAATAGAAAAATGTTGGCCAAGTTGAATGCACTAATAAACAAAAAAGGTGTGCATTATCACTATTCTGTTACCTTAAAGATAAAGCTATAATTTAAAGTCAAACTTAAGATTTTGTTTATACTTTCTAGCTGGTAACTGGAGAAATGGCATTTAGTGATAAACAGTTACTTCTCTGAAAAAAAAAAAAATACAGGCATCAGACTTACCATACTTACAAGTCATACATACATTTACAATATTCCATCTAGATTCATTCTAAAAAGGTTTTGGTCAATAAATGGCAATCAGACTACTAAAAATATGGAAATTATTAAAGAAAAACTGACTGTTTTTTCTAGATTCTTAATATGCTTTTGAACCTCATCTGATGAATTCCATTTAAAGAGAAAATTCTGGCTTTTTAATCTATGCACTCATGAACACCAGTGTGCTCTTGGGTTATCAACAAATTATGTGAGTTACACAGGGGTCTGACAGATAGCTGGGGATGTAATTTCCTCACTTGTCTCAAGAATGAACAATCAGTAAAGTTAATCAACATTTTATCAACCATGAGTAATATATGAGCCTGAATAGAAAGATAATTTGAGCTCTAAAAGAAAGAAACCGTGGTATTAAGGTTTATAGGCACAGGCAACTCAGTAGGAGCCACAGATTGCTGGGGGCTGGCTTGGATTCAAATTATCTGCAGTCTTGCTGGCGACTAGGAACAGGGGCCCAAGCTGGTAAAACAAAAGCACGTTTCTGAATGTCGCACACAGTCCTTCGTGCTGGAGGTGGGTAAACTTCCTCACTGGCCTCAAACTATGGGCGGGAGTTTAGGTGGTTCCGTACCCACCTAAAGGACACGGCAAAACCGATGAAATCAAGCAGCCACTTAATTATGTCCAGCATCATAATAGATTGAGGTGCAAAGGCCTTATTCGGTATCATGAAAAACCTACAACAAATTTCAGTGGGATCACTTCAGGGCCCCATCACTACCGTTTGAAAAATAAAAGTACGCTTAATATATCCAAAAACATTCTTACTCATAAAATGTTGTCCATCCTGTTTCATCACTCTTCGTTGCTAAGAGACCACTGTTTCCATTATAAGTCATTAATCCAAGTTCCAGGGTCTGCGTTGAGACTAGTTTGAGTCCACCATTAGTGCCAACAGCCAGCGTGACAATCTGATTATCAGGCATCAGTAAATGGCGGGGCATTCCGCTGGCATCCCGACGGACCTTCAAGGAGTTGCCATTGCTGTCCATCACCTCCGTGACATCGTTATCGCTGCTATAGGTGAAATTGTACAAGTACTCCCCGGTAACAAGGCTGAGAGTGTACTGGTGAATCCCATCAGCATTGAAGACATACAGCTCCTGTTCTCCTGGAGATGCAGCTTCATATTGGTTAAAAGAATTAAGAATGGGCCTGTTTTTACTGACAGCCCTAATGCGGATATTTCCGAGATCAGCTATGTAGATGGTACCATCTGGGGCCACAGCTAAGGAAGATGGTGAATTTAAGATGGCATCAGTGGCATACCCATCATCCCCAGAATAGCAATTACAGTTGACATCATTTTTGCAATCACAGTCTGAAGCTGCCCCTGCAAGAAGGCATATTTCTCCATTGGTAGTTACCTGGCGTAGCCGATTAATTTTTTTTTCATCTGTCTCACTGATGTAAAGAACTCCTGTGTGTGAGATGGCAATGGCACTGGCTGATTCAAGTGCGGAATGAATAGCCAGTTTGCTAAGAGAGTAGTCTATACCAGGAACCTGGCAGTGCATGGGGCGTCCAGCAATAATGCTAACTTGATGGTTTTCTGTGATCCGTAAAATAACATTGTTCTCTAGGACATAAAGTGAGTTGTCCATGGGATTGACAGCGAGATCAGTAGGCCACTCCAGCCGTACCTATGAGTTGCACAAATTATTACTGTAAAACTCGTAACTGAAAAGTACACTTCTAGTGTTTAAAATTCCATGTGTAACAACAGCAAATTAGTGAGGGGTTTATCAGCGTAAATCATGAAACTGCAACTATTTCAAACAATCATTTTCTTTCTTGGAAATATTAAAGCTATGTGCAATGGTAACTTTGGCGAATTGTGTTTTGGTGCAAAGAATGAATGCTACATTGTGGAAACTCTACAATAATTACAGAAAAACAGGCAATTAAGACAATTACTTCCATTATCTCAACCTTATTTCACTATTGTTGCATAAATAACCTGCATTAACCACAGTAAAAGGATAGTTCATTCATCTCAGTAATGAATCAAACATGCTATCATCTTGCAAAACATAACGTATTTCTTAAGTGGCCAGGAAGTCATCCAAAACAGCTGCCCATTTCTTCTAAGGCTGAGAAGTAAAAAAACGTAAGAGTTTACCTGGCTGACATCCATGCTGGAATCACAGCTCAGAGGTCGTACAGCAGTTAGGTCATTGGAGCCCAGCAGAGTTGATATAATTCCATTCTGATCCACTTTTCGAATCATAGTGGCATCAACAAAATACATGAGTCCATACTTATCCACTGCAATTCCTGCAAGTATGAAAAATAGGCATCAGTGAAGCTTCTAGCTTCAAGGTAGGATTAATCATGTTAACAAGTTTACGAGATGGCAGTGTTTGTTTACTTTTCCTGCCTTCCGAGTTGTAAATCCTTGAAGAGGAAAGGCACAGAAAATGAAAAGTGAATTCTTGGAGGCACAGAACGATGCTGCTGCTTGTCACGAAGGAGGGCAGGCATACTCTCACTTGACTTTCCTGCTTTAATTTGGTGCACTGCCTAGCTCAGTTCTTGGTCTGAAAATGAAATACTCATCTAAGCATTTTGCCTTACACTGGTTGCAGCAGCACTCATTGTACTGTCGAGGGAAAGAAGAGGAAACTTTATCTTCTCAACCGCTACGTAGGGCTGTTCTGTCCCATTAACATACTTTGTGCATATAAACAGAAACTATTACCTAAAAGAGAACAGGACCTCTTGTTTTTATTCATTTTTCTTCATGTTTACTATCATCTAGTTACTTTCAACCATTAGAAAGAAACAGAGGTGTCTGAAACACCTGGCAATACACCCGATTAATTCAGTACTTAAACAGCAACGTACCTCTCAAATCTCTACATCACTTTTAAAATTGTTTTTTAAAAATCAGAGACATCTAAGCTGACATATGAAAGCTGAGAAAAATGCCACAGTGGGCAGTTTTTCTTCCCAAAATACTGTATCTCAAATAGTGATTTGTTTTTCAGTTTTCATGTTTGCTTCACGGAATAAGCGGTACGCTGCTAATTTCTGTTCTGTTCTCCTTTAGTGGTAATAAAGTTTGCTTAACTAAACAAAGCACGAACACTTGCCAATCCACTGTAATTAAGGCATGGAATAAAAATTACCAAGCAAGTAGTGATTTAATTGCCAGATAATTATTTCCACATCCAGTGTAGCCTCACATAGTCATTTTCTCTGCCTTTTTTTTATTACGTTACCTCGAGGACTCATTAGGGTTGCGTCCACTGCTTTCCCTCCATCTCCACATCTGGCTTCGTCAAAGGGCAGGCATTGCTCTCCAGTCCCCGCCACCACTTCAGAATTACCAGCGAGGTCTTTCGTGCCAGTGAGAGATCTGACTTTGTATATCCGTCGGCTGTTGGTGTCTGATACGTACAGGGAGCCCGAAACAGGGTCCACGGCCAGATAGTATTTGTGAGCAGGATTGTTGCTTTAGAGAAAAAGGAAGCATAAAACAAAAAGAGCTGAGCAGCCCAAAAACTTCACAGGCTTTCAGAGCGCAGATATTCATCAGACACACTGAGATCTGGAAAGAAAGTCTGACACCTTCATACAGAGTTGGGGTCTGAAGAAGTTGTTTGAAGATTTAACTTGGTTAGTGTTTCAGGACTGTCATCCCAAATCTCATGCTCCTTGCTACACCAAACACTGCATAACAGAGCCCAAAAAGCCAGAACCATACAGTGGCCTTTCTCCTTCATCTTTTTAGCTCTCCAAATGTGCTTTAGGTCCATTCTCTTTGGCTTATAGCTACCTGCTAACACCACCTTTCTCCTGAAAGGAGAAGTAATAGGAGTAAGATAAAAAAAGTCTGCTTCTGAGTTACATATATTATGCCACAAGATTTGTGTGGTCTTGCATAAATAGAAGGCAGAAGCATAACAAATTTATTCCTAAAGCAAATTCGTTCTCATTCATTCTTATCAAGAATCTCATTTACGGTAGATGAAGTTGGTTATGTAACTAAAACCAGAGAGACCCCGAGTGTCTGACTTTAACTCCAAACCTTCTGTTACTGACAAACTGGTCCTCAGTTTGAGATTAGAACAGGTGCTCATATGGGAAGCTACTTCTCATATGAGATGTATGTTTTTTGACAGCTTGTCACATTTTGGAACTACTTTAGCAAATCATCTGCAAATTGAGAAATGTCAATCTCAAGCGATATATATACATTCGCACACACAGAACTGCAGTGCAGAAATATTTTCAAAATCTTGCCTGGCTAGTTTAACTCAATTTAGTTGGATTTTAAGCATGATCTGAATTTCTCAGCCTTTGGTGCCTATGGGTGAGCATAAATAAGGTCAATGGTGGTTTCAAAACATAGAAGACAAATGAAGACAGGAAGAAAAATAATGAAGGTTACTTACCAGTAACCAGAGAGATCTGCCTCCAAATATCCACACTCCTAGTTTCAAGTGGCAAAAGTGCCCATCTCCAAGAGTGAGGATACTCAGAGATAAGTTATGATGGACATAAGCCATTTCTTGATCAGATTCGCTGAAGGTACAGTAAGGGCACTTCTGGCAGATGATTATCAGTAACAAAGACAACTGCGTTTCTGTGGTCGTGAGCAGATTTGGAGGAATGAGGAGGCCCCAAAATATCACTTTTTACAGTTATCTTCCTCTATGTCAGTCTGTGACATGTCAGGACTTTAAGTCAATAGCAATTAGTTCTAAAACCATAGAAAGCAGGAAGATTTGTTTGATCAAACTTAAACAGGCAGAGGAAATGCCATTTGCTGAAGTCTAGGAGTGTAGAAATTAGAGATGAATAAATACAATAAACAAAAAATACTTGGCAGTTTTATTTCATGCATGAATTGCAAAGTGCTTTATAAAGATGGGTATTATACCCATTTTACAGAGGAGGAAACTGAGGCACAGAGAGGTTAAGTGGTGCAGACAAGGTTATACAGGGAGACTAGTGACATGCTTGAAATTAGAGCACAATCTCTTTGTTTTCCAAGTTCCTCTCCTTATCTTCAGCAGCAGACTGCACCTTTTCACTACACTTTTACCACATTCCTTCTCATCCCTCCAAAACAAAGCTTAATCTTTGCCACATAGCAAAATATTTCTTTCCACTTACTTCTTCACACTCCCAAGTATCTGAGCCATGCAAACACCTGCATATTACTCACTGCTTTGAAATTCTGCTCTACTTTCATCTCACTTTCTCCTTGACACTTAGGAAGAAATTTCACTGTGACACTAGTGCTGTGTCATACTTCACTTTGCAAAGACACCCAAATTTAAGTCAAAGCTTTGCAACAGCAGCAGAGCAGACAGTGCTTACACACTGCTGCGGTGGGCCTGTTGTGTTGTCATCCTCAATGTTTTCTGCCTGTCTTTTCCAGAACATGTTGCTGAGATGGGAAGAGGCATGTACAGGCTGGGATGCCCTTACCTATCTTCTGCCTGCTTAAGGCAGGGCACTCCCCTGGCCTGGGGTGCTCTCAGCAGAGACTGTGGGAGCTGCTCTACCCTTGCTGCAGCCCTGGGAGCTGCAGGAAAGGTTTCTGTACTGTTCAGATACGATTTTGCCAGCCTGTGCCTGCCCTCCCATGAGCATGCCCCTGCCTCCCTTCTGCCCACAGCTAGTCTTAGGTGTGTCCTGCTGCTATCAGCACAGTGCAAAGTATGAATCAGAGTCAAGAACAACGGCAGAATGTGGGCTCATCTCCCTCTTCTCTCTTGCAGGCACTGATGTGACCACGGGGCTCATCCTGTATTTCTCTACTGGCATCTCCCTCAGAGCAGTTTTGTCAGGGTGTGGGCTGTTAGCTTTTGTTCCAGAGCAGGGCACAACTCAGTGCATCTGCTAACCTTGCCTATTCACCTTTGCTCCTGAGCCTGGTAAGGGAACAAGCAGTGGAAGATGCTCCACAAAAAACATCTGAGCGATTCTGGCACAAGACAACTGGTGGGCGTGCGTCCACAGTCTCAGAAAAACTGAAGAAAGTATTACCTCAAACAGGGATGTATTTTATAAATGAATAGAACATAGTTCTCAGACTGGCCACCTTCTGCATCTTTTTTCTCAGCACCATTTCAATCTTTTATTTGAATTACAGGAAATGAAGGAATATGCCTTGCTTTAAAATACTTTCCATAACATCTGATATTGCCCAGAAGCCTCTCTTCCTCTAGTCCTCCCTACTGTGCACAGTAGTTACAATCTGCAGCCTTACTCCACCTTCCAGGAAGCCTGGAGCCTGATAGCAAGTACAGGCAGCACCAGCTCCTGGTTGCTGCTCTTCTCATACATGCATAAACAGTGTTACAACAGCTTTTCTTGAAATACAACCAAAAAAGAGAAGCTGCTCAGAGCAAATCTTTACGCACCTGAAGAATTAACTAAGCTTACAGTTGAAATGAGAAGCCTCCAGCACCACCAATAACCATTAGCAAATTGTGAATGAATTCATCTAGATAAAAAAATTCAGTGGAGTTAGACTCCATATAGCAAAACACATTGTGAACAGGAAATTACATTATTTAGTCAGACTACCTTCTGTATCTAACTTACATAGCAGTAATGGAAGGATACCAAAGTATAGCTTCAAAGAAGTCATGGACAGAACAGTACAGAAGAGCTTTTAACAGCATCTCTTGTTCTTGCCCTTGATATTATGCTGGGTGAAGGCGTGTGGCACTGAAGAAGGCAGAAGCATTTCCTATGCTGCTCCCATCCAGAAAGCCTAGTGCTCAGGGGAGGCAAAAAGAAAAATCCTTACTCCTCACATGCAGAAAGGTTACTCCTCCCTTGTAAATCATACAGTGATTCCTTCTAGTGATTTCACACAACCAGCTGTTGAATGTCCTCAATGAAAGAGAACAGAAACTAGCTTATAAGTAAGGACATCGTTCAGGGAGCCACCAATGACCAGCAAGTGCATTTTTGACCTATTTCCAGTCATCGGTGCTTTTGTGAAACTTTCTGGCATTTGTGGAACTGCTCTCATAGTTTGTCTCAACCATTTGGACCAGTTATAGACAGCAGGGAGAAATGAGTAAGTAGAAGTTAGCTTGGGGTTCATTATACTTGCATTCTACTGTAAGTTTCTATTTACTGTCATAACTTTTGTTGCTTTTTGACTACATTTTGTAATTGCTAATGCTTATCATATTCATAACACACAATTAGCACATAAAATGTTTCTATATATGGTACATGAAGAACATAACATTACACAAGAAGCACAACACAAAAAGCAAACACAATGAAGCAAACAAACCATATCAAATTATATGGGAAAGAGCTCATGTCTTACCTATGTTTAAACTCTTTATTTCTTTATAGAAGGGGAACAGAAGGAAAAAGAACAAACAGTTAGCTGAAGAATAGATGGTAAAGCAAACATAGTATTTGTTTTATTTTACAAAAGGACATAGGAGAAGGTACCTCTTTTCAGCACTAGCCTTATCTTGGTTTACAGATGAAGAATGCCTGGGAGTGATCCATTTGCCAACTAGTTCCCTAGTATGATACCCCTTCCCTCATCCCCCACCCCCATATATGCTACAGAAAGCTTTCTGGAGCACTGGAAGAGTTTTCAAATGGAAATATACGCAGCTCATGGGTTGGGGGGTAGAGGAACTGGCAGTTTTCTTTATATAAATGTGGGAATGGTGAAGCACTGGGATTAGGATATTGTCTGCCAGCCACGGGCAACTTCTTACATCAAAACAGTTTTCCAACAAGCTATTTCTAAACAAATTTCTATTACACAGTTTTTTTTTTTCTATTCCCCCAGACTCTAAAAAAGCACTTAAGACAAGTTTGGATGCGACTTTGTAGATCTTATCTAGATTCTATTTAAGTCAATCGAAGCAAATACTAGGTTAAAAAACCAAATCTTTTAAGTGAGCAGTAAAATACTGTACAATGGGAGATACGTAGCATTAATTGATGCCTAGTCTACTTTCTAGAAACAAGCCAAAAGAATCCTTTGCTTCCAGGAAGTCAATACATTCTCCACACCACAGTGCTGCACTGTGTTTATCATCTCTTTTTAGGAATATACATTGAAAAAAAGAGCGAGGTGCATGACTCCTGCAGAACTCAATGCACAGCCCCCAGCCTGCAGTACCAATGGTCATCGTTGACATGCAGCACTCGAGTGAAAATTCCTATTAGCTGCCCAGATCAGGTACCTTCATAAAGCACAGTGCAAAGGAAATAAGCACACTGGCCTATTCTGACTTGTACAGCTACTCGGGATTTATATTGGCTTATGTAAAACCAAAATTATAACCATTCTGAAATCGAAACAAAGCAATACACTTTGTTGAAATGGTTATGAAAGCACTATTTGAATGTTATATTTGATACTTGCTGCAGACTCACTCCAGTTTATAATTAAATGCCTAAGAGTTGGGGGATTAAAGCCATTTGAGTCAGAATTTAAAATGGCCACTGAATCACAACTACTTCTGTGCATGATGTTTGCTGGAATGGACCCTAGCTAATTCTCTACAAGGGGTAAAAAGAGCACCGCAGATCCTAAAAGCTTGGGTGCCAAGTCATTTGCAGCAGTCCAACAGTACTCAAAACATAACAGATTCACTGTTCATTGCTAATAATTGTAGAAAAAGCTAAAGAAACTACACTGTGGAAAACAGACTTTCATAAAAGAAAAGAGAAAATGGACAAAAGCAGCAATGGAAGATAGGCATCTTCATCTTTACTGATGTCTTTCCTATAATCCCTCACACATTCTAAAAAGTCTGAGCTGTCTCCTGCCTAGGTGGAAACCACAGTTCTCAGACTAGTAATGCTGCAAACCTGCAGAAAGTGCTCAGAAACTGTGTCAGTGACTGACATTTGGAGGCGAGATGGACATAAATGCCTTACATTAACTAGGCTAGTTTGAAAATGTTTCTCTTCACCTACAATGCAGTAGTCCTAGGCAAAACTGAACTAGTTGAAAAAAAAAAACCAAACAGCATGTTCTATGTAATGTAGAATTATAGTGCATGCTGATAGAAATGTTTATAGCACGTCATGCAGCCACACCAGCTACCTCTTTTGGTCTGTCCCCAGCTGCCAATCAGAAAGCACTGGATGATCTATTACTTGTTTTTTAATTGTACTTTTTTAAAACCTCTGGAGAGTAAGGCAGCCTGATGGTGTGTAGGCAGGTGTCAGTGATCTCAGAGTTGATTTGGCCCAAATCTGATCTCTTTTCTCTTATATAAATCAGAATTCACAACAGGGACATCAACAGAATGACATGAATGGGAGAGAGGTGTGAAATAGAGCTAGGCCTCCTGTTCCCTAACAGCTCTTTAACTTTGCATTTTTCCCCACTAATTAAAAAATAAAAGCACAGTAGAAGAAGAGGTATTGGTTATTGCTGTATTATTAAAAAAAAAAAAAAGGCTAATGACTTAAATCCAATCGATGTGCTTTGCAGTTATATTGAATTTATAGGAGCGCTGATCCTATTGCCTGAGCGGGTTGCAGAAGTATCAGAGGACAGCCAATGCAAGCCACTTCTCATTTGCTTTCTGCCAAATACTCAATAGTGTATCAACAGTAAAGAACAGTTACATGAGTTATGGTTGGAAGCAATAGCTCTTCCTTCTACTAGAAGAACGAAAAAAGGAGATGAAACAGAAATGGGTGAAGTGGTACACTCTACACTCATGCCCTCCCTGATAAGTGACAAAATCTCAATGTTTTGAGAGGAATAGATATGATTTTAGAAAGAATTCTGATGGTGCAAAGTGACTCTGTATGTCAACTTTTACTGTACTAGCCAACCTATAGAACTAAACCTACAAGAAAGGGAAAGAAGTGGGAAAGTGGATCTCAAAATCATTAATGTGAAAACCTCCTTTCTAATCTCCTAAGACTGTTAATTCTTTATTTATCACTGTGGCTCAATACCTAAGGGCAGTCAATTCTGCATTTTTCAAATAAAACTAAATTATGTATAGAAATGAAAGAAGACTGTGTCAAGTGATCACCACCAGGAGAGAATAAGATGGTGTGCACTGCGGTTTTTTCAGTTTGTTTATACACTTCATCCTTCTCTATAAGCACTGCTCTGATTAGCTATAGACTTTGAACTCTGCATTTCTGTGCCCCATTTCTCCACTGGAATTTGAATAGGTTGACAGTGACAATGTTTTACAAAATTATAAAAATAATGGTAAAGGCTGATTTAAGCACAGGCTACAGAATCGGAGTCCCAAGACTAACACGTACCTCAGCTCCAATATGCTAGTAACGTTCCTGGATGGGAAGATACGCCGAACGTAATTAAAATCTCCAACAAAGAGACTTCCATCAATTCCCACTGCCAGTGCTACAGGGGCCAAAAGCTTATTTCCTTCTGCAAGACCATTGCAGCTAGGACAGGATATGCTTCTTCGGCGCCCATTCCCCATAATGCTGGTTATCACAGCTGGCTGCTGAGTTAGAAACTGATTTTCTCCATTGCCTTTGTGCAATATACCTAATAACAGACAGGAGGAGAAGTGGTTATTACAGTCATTTGTTACAGGTGACTTCAGGTAGTTCTCCTTTCAGCAGCTGCTGTTAAGGACTGAACAGTGATATGATTTCAATGCTCGGTTCTCCAGCAGTGCAAAAACAGTAAAATAGGTCTGCAGGAGTAAACAATAAAGGTGTAATGAGGATTCTCTGTTAAAAACACACACACACACAGCTACAAACACAAATCCAAGCTTAAACCCACAGTACTTTGGTCTTCATTATGAAAGAAAATGTCATCATACATCCCTACAGGGTGGCACAGTGGTTCAGGCTGTCTTAATAACTGTGAAGTGAGGAAGCAAACAGCACAGAGGACATACGCACTTGTTAGTGCACCCTGATTATCTGAATCCAGTTTCTTGTGTTGCATTTTGTTTGGAATTTTTATTAACTTTACTCTTCTCTTTCCACCTCTCAGTTTTTCCTTGCACAAATGGAGATGACAGAAAGCAGGACAGTGCAGAAAATTAAAGATGCAACTCCTAGAAGAGCTCCTATGGATCACTAATGACAGACAAGAGGGGAGCTAGTGGTAAGTTCCTTATTAGGTTTCCAGAAAGGCCTTTAAGATGGGTTTTCTGTTTTAAACATATTTATTCTAAAAGTACACATCTGTTCCAAGAAAGGAGTGCATTCTGACAAAATGGTCATTTTCAATAATAATCAAAGATTATAGAAATCTGGCTGGAAACATTTAGCCACATTTAGTGCTCTTTCGGAAATACTGCTGTGTGACTCTAACGTAGAATAACTGGCTCCCCAGGGACAAGTACAGCTGCCATCATTGGTGTTACCAGTGAATATCTTGCTCTATCTAAATGGCCATCTCAGAAGCATTTGATCTGCTGCACAGCACTTAAAAATGTGTTCGAATAGCCTGATCTTGCCTGTTCTGAATGATCCTTCAGATTTCTTGGACAATAATATATTGTGCAAGTTACTGATGCAGAGTATTCCTGCAAGAAAGAGCAGGAAAGCTGCAGAAAATACTTTACAGAAATGAAACGAAATGTATTGCCAAGCATTCAACTCCTTAGTAGTCTTTGAGAAAATGTGATGTCTAAGAATATTCATTTTAGGATACTTAAAGAGAAGTGAGGGAAAAAAAACAAAACAGGTGTCAAAAGGAAAAAACAAGAATCAGTATCTTATCAGAATCTCATACTCCTCTGAAACCCTACCTCAGATTATAATGGAAAAGGACAAACAAAGGGGACTGGGAATGGATGTGGTTAAGATAAAAAGAACATGGAAGGAAGACAGAAACTAATTACAGGGGAATAAATGAACAACTGAAAAGAGGATGAAGATCTGGACTTCTAGAAAGCAGTGCTTGGCAGGAGGGTAAAAAATCTGTTGAACTTATATATAAATTTTCTGACAATTAAAACATGTCCCATTCCTTACTAAGCTAAAGATGAAATAAAAGAGTGAAGAAATTGCATTTTTCAAAAGGTAAAGATAATGTAAATAAGAAGCATTCACAGTCAGAACTCCATATAGCCCAGAAAACGCATGGAACTGACTGACTTACCACTCTTGACATTAAGTACATGGTGTTTATCCAAGGACCATCCTCCTAGATTTGAAGGATCTAGTTCAAATCCTTGCAGCAGCGCGGTCCTTTTCTCCCACAGAATCAAACTGGGACAAGTCTCATATTCAAAACCCACAGAAACTGAAAAAAAATAAAAATCTCATATACCTGCTGAACAGACACTGAATTAAATGTCCAAGGCACATTCAAATGGTTCATCATTCCAGTCCCCAGTAACCTCAGAAAGATGAAGTTGATTACATTTCCCTCTTTTCATCTACAATATTAAATTCAGATCTTTGACTAAACACAAATTTTAAGCTTCATTCACACGTACTCTGCAGGGAGCAGATCCCTTTTATTGAACAGCTGGCTTTGGGAAGTGACCGCTTTGGTCAAAAGAGAGAGGGAAATATAATTAAAAAAATGATAATAATATTCTCCTATCAGATAACAGGACAAGATCAAATTCTTAATTTGCTGGATGTTCACAGCATGTATTGTGTTCATTGTCCATGCCACACACCAAGGAGCAGTGACAACTGTGTGTGTTTCAAGCACTCACACACATTGTAAGCATTACTCAGGAAAGCAATATCTCGTGCAAGAATATAGGAAAGAAACTGTAGCAAAAAAGATTTTAGAAAAAATATGAAGAACGACGATTTAAGCAAATTTTTCATTCTACATTGGCACAACTCCAATACACATTTTTAGCAATGTTACAACAAAATCCTTCTTGATATTAAAATGAAAATGAAAACGTAAAAACAATGTGATGTTCACCCATTTTCCCACCCACCAGAACCACGATCTATAAATAAAGGAACTAAAAGTAGCTATAGTACTGCTAGATTGAACAGCATTAGGAAAACTATTTCATTTCAAACATACTACACGGGGCTGTAATAACAGCATGCAGCAGATGCCAAATGCATTGAAGAATGCCAGTCACTTGAAACACAAGATTTATTTGTTAACTGAAAGAAAATAAAGACACAGTGATGGTCTACATTTCACCTAAGTCTCTGCAACCAGCTTATTCCATTGGCTGATCTAAAACTTCTAAGTGAGCTGCTGCTTAGGAAACATAGACACAGTGGTAGCCTAGACCCTCTGAATGTGCTCCTCAATACATAAAAGGAACATGATGCACAAGAAGAATGTTTAAGTAAGACACGAACTGCTTCTTACTTTATATAGCTTTATATCTGCTTCTTACAGAAAATCTCTGCAGCTTTCTTACACAAGTGTTTGGAAAGCTATTGAGCTTGTATATACTGACTTACCTACAGCATCTGACAACCCATAAACCTTCTGACCATATGCATCTGTTTTGTCCCAGATAAATGTATAAGCCAAGTTGGGAGATGCCTGAAATGATTTTTGAAATAGATGCCCTTCTACTGCTACCATCAAATGAACTTTGATTAGATTCAGTGGCACAAGTGACTGAGTCATGATGATCTTAAGTAAGGATTTATATCCAGCAGTACGGGAACTCAGGTAGATCAGCTTTATACTTGTGCCAGGGATCTCCATTTCTTCATGAAGAACCTGAATAGGAAAAATATCAAACATTTTACATTACTGCTTTGGTGTTTTTTTTTTTTTTTTTTTTTTTATTTATTTATTTTTTTTATTTTAAATTTCTTATTTTCTTAGAATAGCAGATACTATTCTAAGCTAATAATATTCCTGTGACCTAATGACTCTCTACTACTGGTAATGGGTATCTTCAACTCAGTGCAGTGACAGAGTTCAGATGATGTTTCTGGTGTCTGCATACACATTTATTGGTAAGAATCCACTGCAACAGCAAAATAAGAACAAACAGTTTGCAAGGGGACTACAGGAAGATGCAGCTAAAGGAACCTGCAATTTCTAACAGCAATTCATACAAAGTAAATAATAACTGAGTAAAGAAGTGAAAACAACTGATGCTTTCCTTTGTCCTAAACAGCATACAAGAAATTGGGACTGTGCTTAATAGCATACACCAAAACCTCTGCAAAATTCTCTTGAAACATGTAAGCTTTCAATTGAAATACAGATATAATCTTATATATTGTGCGATAATGAGAAGGTGCAAGGTAGTCAAAGACAAACGAGTCTGGATGACATCAACATAGGATATCTACTACAGACTTCCTTGGAAAACTTGTTATCTGTCAGAATGAATGCAACTCTACAGAGCTTTTTGCTGTAGCAACTCCAGGAGACAAATGGTGGTTGTGGCAAGTGCTTATGTCAACAGTAGCATCTGACCACCCATTTCTGTACCTTTCCCTCTGTTCTTACCTGGGTTTCTGGTACAATGGGATTTCGGCCAGGAGCATCACTGAAGAAAGTTGACAGTGGTGATGAAATGATGACTGGGTCAGGTCTGACAAAGCCACTGAGATCACAGCTGGGAATGGAGTTCTCTTCTGTCTTCATTACAAGCGTGTCCATGGCATAGAAGCTGTTCCATGGCAGCCATACAGTTCTTTCTTGAGTCATAAATGGGGCCCGTTCAAAGTGCAAAGTTAGGGATGATCCACCATTTGCAACCAAGTCAAACCTAAAGAAAAGGCAGGCTTTATAGAGGCAATGAGACTGAATGATCCAAGCAGTAACGCTCTTGGCTAACAGAATGTCATAGCAATATATATGTTTTAAGTGTCCTGCTTCAAATTATCTGTCATGGGATGTGAATCTCTGGCAGCAAAATGACTGACTGAAACACAGTCAAGGCAAGCAGCAATTTGCAGCCATCTGGACAAGTGTTCCAATACATTATAAAATCTGCATTAAAATAATTTCCAAAAAAAGAACAAACCAGCACATTTTCTACTGCAAGTCCCCCATATACATAGAACCAGCAGTGAAACCAAGTTAACACTGGGCTGGGCACTGAATTATTCCTTTCCTAACAGATGCTGTCCATCAAGAAAAGTAATGGGATGCATGGCAGTAAGAATAATAATGAAAAGTTTAGCTGTTTCTGTTCGACAAATGTGGTAAGAATTACTGTATCCAGAATTACTGTTTCTATCATTTTTCATAGAGATTAGATGTTTACTCCCAAGCCTCTACAAAATCACAGCAGAAACGTGGAGCTCTGCAGGAGTTCTGAAATCTTTCCTAGAGGCACAAAATAATTCAAGGTTGTTCTGACAACAGAACTGATTATCAGTTGTTTCGTGTAAACAGTAATGGAACAAATTACTCAATGATTTAGATAATTTATTTAGATCTAAATATGAGTTCAGCTCACATATTGCTGTTGTATTAAACTACTGAAATCAATAATGTTATGCTGTAATTCTAACACTAAAATACTCTGGAAATGCGGACGTGAAATACTCTGTAGTTCAACTGATTCATATTAAGTAATTCAATTCACTCTTTGTATGAAAGAGAAGAAAAAATGGCAAACATTTACAATGTATGTGTTGTAAATATGCTGTTTTAGTTACCACAGCCAGTAGACTAGATAAACCATGACACGTCAATTTTTATTTTTCTGAAATTGTGTGCATTTCAAATCAAATGATACAAGGGGGAAAAAGCTCATCTTTGCACAGCAGGAGAATGTCTAAATACAGTCAATTAGAATCTTTTGAGTATATTCTACCCTGAAGAAACTCAAAATATAGCAGATCTTCAAAAAGAGAGAGAGAGAGAGACGGAAGGGGACTTTTAACAAAATATATTATAATAAAATGATGCAACTGTTTTTTTTTTTTTTTTCTTTTTTTCCCAGCAGCATTCTTCTGCCTTGCATTTTAAGCTAAAATATTTCTGCTCTCAGCTGGGTATTACTGGAGTCCACAAATGTTTTCATAGATATAGAGCAATTTATTTGAAGCGAGTGTGACTGCTAACACATTATTATCAGAAGTCAGCCTTTCCATATTTACTTTCATTTAGCATTCAAAATGCCATATGAAAAATTACTTTTGTGTTTACTTATTAGCTCTTTGCCCTGGGAGGAATGAAATGCATGGTACCACAGGGTTCCAGTAGATTGCACCATCTGTTAATCAGCAAAGATACTACATAAAATAATAGGTACTCAATGAAAGCAGCAAACTCACATGCCGTCCTGACGAGTGATGGTATAGCCATACTTTGGATACTTGACAAATGACACATTGACCCCAACTAGAGGCGTTCCATCTGTAGTCACCACTTGGCCTCTTACAAGAGACACAAGACTTGAAAAGAAAATAACGAAAGGTAATAAAGTTAGTTATGAAAACATTTACAGTGTTTATAAACCGAGCGGTGGAACACATGTGCCTCATTTAATCTAAATTCAATTTGCTTCAAGGTTTATTAGAATACTGAAGATAGCACAGGATCACCCAGCTCTCTCTGTTTACTTAAATGAAGAAAATGTGTACCTGCGTGCTGAGGACTGTAAGGATGGAATGGGACTTGATGCCTTCCCTTGGGTTGTACCTCAGATGCAACTGTCTAATGAGGCCTTACACAGGCTTTGCCACCTCGTTCAGCCAAGTCACAGCTGTGACTCTGAAGTCCCACAGAAACGATGACCCATCACTTCTCAGAATACCCTGCCTGGTTGCAACACCATCTGTGGACGCCTCATACACTTTCAAAATATGGTGTAATAGTGTATCTCCATTCTATACAAATGATTTTCCAAATTACGGTCCATGAACCTTCATCTTAGGGAGTGACTGACCTCTGCACACTGTGCACTGGTTCCTGATCTATAATCCTTGTTTTTCATTTTTTGTAAGCTGGAGAAGGGATCTGACACAAGGCCTGCTTTATGCACCGGCAAAATAAATAGTTTCCTTAGCGACCAGGCTACCCACTTTGCTTAAACTAAAGGGAATGAAGACTGGTTATTCCTGTACAATTGGGCACAGTCAGACTTCTTCTCTTTTGAGAGCACTTTGCTGCTGGAGAGCACGCAGCAGGCACATAATGCTGGATTCCAGCCTCCTGGAAGCAGCAGCCCCACTCCGCCCTGCTCTGCTGCTTCCTGGCATAGTTGCCTGTTCCTGCCTCTCTCCCTGCTCTCATAGCTGGAGAGGATACTCCTTCTCCTGGCTCCCTTCCTCCCACTTCCCAATCCTGACAGAGGCAGATTGGTGAGAAAAGGAAGATGCACAAGAAAAAGAGATGAAAAGGAGAAGCGCCCTGCAAGAAGGACCACAGCACTGAGCTTTGCAGGTGTAAAGTGTTCTATACTAGCACTAGGCACTTCTGGCATGGTCCACCACCTCTGACTGGTAGCTATACAGACACAGAAAACAAAAAGGCCCATTTCCAAGCCGGCTTTGCGCTGGCAGGGCTGGAGCTGCCCACAAGCCTTAGTGGGCTTCAGGCACACTGACAGAAACAGAGACCTGACAGCAAAGATTCCTGGACCCTGGCCAAGCTGTGGGATTAAAGTGGTTTGTGTTTTGCCAAAAATGGACAAATTTAGTTCAGTTCTGGGACAGCTATAAGGCCTGCATTATCCCCTATTCATGTATTTCTAAAGTGATGTACATATCAGATGTACATATTCATTTCCACTAGTAATACCAGGGTTGTTTTCAGGCCTCTTCTGTTATTCTGAAATGCTCAGGATGCTCTGATGTATATTTCTAACTGTACTATCCACACTTGTATGAAGCACTGTGTTCATTTATAGTAACGCATACCACAGAGTTTTTTTTGGTAATCTTTTAAGAGGCCATATGTAAAGTATGTGAGGTACAAATAACATAGAACTGAGACCCCTGCAACTCAGAACACTATAAAACTTAATGAATTTAGAATTTCTGACTGGATTTTTTCAAAAGAGTCTCAGGTCTGAAGTAGCCAGCGCCTGTTCAGGCTAGATTTGTAATTCTTAGAACATTCATACATGAATAGCTTGATTATTTCTAAGCTAACTGCTTGAAATTAAGTAAGATGGGTGTTTTCAGCTGAGTTTTTTTTTTTTTTTTAATTAAATTTAATTTTGTTAGTAATTACAATTAAGGCTATATTATAGCATTATTTAGATCTCTTCAAACTCATAACAAGAGTTCATTTTCCATTGTTGTACACTGCAGTCTTTATGAATGATAAAGCTCAGTAGCTCTTGCTGGGTGGAAGAAACCTGCTTCTAGATGTTGCCAGTGTGTTAAAATGCAAATAAAACTCAAGTGTTATAAAACAAAAGCAATAACATAAATTGCAACAGAGTACCCTCAATGGAATTGATTGCTGGGATGGAAACACAAGAAGAACCTGAAAGCAGCATCTCATGTAAAAACATGAACAAAAGCTCTGGGAGAAATTTTCCCATACACTGCAACCACATAGATGAAATGTCATATTTATAGCTTGCTACCTGCTGTTGAAGGGATTTTCTCCTGGAATGATATGAGTGCTGTCCTTCCCCACTAAGAGCTTGATTCGATCATAGAATGACTTCACAGCTGGTGAACCAGAATGGCTCTGTTGTATGATGTCAAGAGGATCACGGGAACCCCTGCACAGCAGGCTGTTTTGACAAGTAGACTGGAGGCAGCAATCTGGGTCTAGGCAGTCAACCAAGCCATCTGAAAGGCAAGAATCATCAAGATTCAGTCAGCTGCACAGTGCTATCAAGCAAAAACATCTAATGGACATCTCAAGGCACTGGGAGAAAACGTTAATGCATACTCCTCATAGCATCTCTGTGCCAGAAAACTGGTAACTGAACCAGAAATACAACAAAGATGAGACTTTCATAAAGTGTATTAGTTAAACATCATTACTGTTAATTTACACCTGTGTTAGAAGAGAATCAAGCCCAAAGAAATCCATTAAGAGTCGAAATGAGAAAAAATGAATAGTGGAAAGAGTAAAGGATTTTTTTTTTAAATTTCTCCAAATGACTGCTTTACAAAGTTTTTAGATTTACTTGCTAGCCTGTAAGTCTTAGGAATTATACATTTAATTTCATTTGTTCCATCTTGGGAGATGAGGGAAGGAGAGGGGCTGAAACAAGTTACTGTTATCATTGCCTGAAGAAAATAAAAATTATGCTGCACCCACTTTGGTAATTCATAGGGAATTCTGCTGCAACTCACCTCTCATAAATATCTGAATGAGAACTTGGCCACGTGCTTGGGGTAAGAAAGGATCAGCCACAAAACTGGTGGGCTCAGCCATCGTAGTACACATTACTTTGTCCATGAAGAATATTTGGTAAGAAGTATTTTTAAAAATAATTATAATCTAACCACTAGGAATTGAATTGCAATCCTGAACAGGGAGACCAATCTGCATAGGCAGATGAATCATAATTATTTTTATCACATATGGTAACAAATTCCAGCATCATCCCTTCCCTTCGTGTCATTATTTAAATTAAATGTTTTCTCTTAATGGAGTTCTACTTAATAGCTTAGCAAATTAATAACTGTTTACTTTAAAGTGTTATTATCTGTAAGAATTTAGAAACATTCATTCATCTACTTTTGAGAAATCACAAAAATCAGGCATCCAATCTGCAAGTCTGTAAACTTTCAGACGCTGCAAGGCACATCAGTCTCATTTGCTGAGTACAGATACAGCCTGGGCACGCAGTGCATCACAGACACAAGAAAAACCATTCCAGAAGGTCAGCTGACAGATGTAGATTAGAGAAAGATAACGACTCATTTATTTTCAAGATTTTCCAAAGAGACCAGCACTACATCAGAGTGATAACTGGAAGGGTAAAAAAACAACAATCAGCTATAAGAAGCTTGCTTATTTTACAATTAACCCGAATTTCCAGCAGGCTGTTTGTGCCCGAAACAACTGATTCTGATTTAAGAACAAAATTGCCAAGGTATACTGAGAATTTTTTCATTCTTAGCCCACTAAGGAAACTTAAGTTAGACAAACTATCTTGTTGTAAGAGCTATAGATTTCTTTAAGGTCAGTCGCCTATTCACATTAGGAGCTCCATTCATCTTGAAATCCTTTCCAAGATGGAGGTACATATTTTTATTTTTATTTTGCTGCAGTCTGTTTTTCACCCATTTTATGCAATCATTGTGTGAAGACCCCATCAGCTTCAGATTATAACTCAAGGCGATTTCTCAGCTAAGCTCTGATAATTCTTTTCTTGCCATTCTTCTCTTTTCTGGGTTTGTGGCACTTCTAAAACTACGAACTTAAAGCTGTCCACTATTTAGTCCAGTCAGTTCTTTCATTCAGACAACTCTCAGCGAAGAGAATCCTATCAGCACTATCAGCAGAAACAAAATAGAGGATATAAATTACTCTTTCTGACAAATTTACATTTAGCTGTTACAGCTGCATCGTATTTTTGCTACACCTGTTATTATAGGTGAGTGTGTTATGTCTGTAATGACCTCATCACGCAGCAGATTATGGGCTGCTGTGACCGAACACTTCTGACGACACCATGAACTTTCAATTGGCATATCAATCTCAGTGTCCTGTCAGTCATGAGAATCACATCTTTATGCTAGCAAGCCCCCTTGGATATAGCCTGACATTGCAATCTTCAGTAAATTACCCTGTCACTGCCAATCTTACTGTTATCTCACAAACAATCAAGCAGGCAATCACACTGCTTTGAATTGCCAGTTCAGGACCTGGGAGGCTAAAAACATCTCCATTCCATACCAGGGAGAAACCTGTGCATGAGCTGTTTCACGCAGGAAGGTTTGCATGCATTATGGGAATTCATACTTGCACAATTTCATATACTTAGAGGAATATTTCACGTATTATAATGTAAACATACACGTGATCTACTTGTTTGGATCATTATCCTATTTTAAATATATTGCTGCAAACTTTCTCAAGGAGAATCTCAGCGTGAGTAATCTCCATCGTACACTGAAAAACCTTCAGTAATGCCTTTGTTCTATGATCACAGAAAATATGCATGCTTTTGTGCCTACCCAGCCCAGGACACCATTGGCTTTGGTTGCTTTGAGAGCACCTTGCTGGCTCACGTTTGACCTGGTGTCCAATGGCACCCCCAGGTCCCTTACTGAAGAGCTGCTTTGCAGTGGGGTGCCCCTTATGCACTGGTGAACAGGGCTGCTGGTTCCCACTTTGCAGCTTTTGTTGAACTGCATGAGGTTCCACTCAGGCCACTTCTCCAGCCATACAGCACCACAAAATATGAAATTAATAAACTGTTGTGCAATCACTTAGTTGCATTAGACTCAGTTGATTAAAATCGAGGCTAGAAAAAAATGTACCTTCTATTAGAGAAAACTGCCATAAGCATGAATTTTAATTAGAATTCAGCACTTTGTTTTTAATATATATTTCAGAAGTTGTCATCTTCCAGATTTCCTCAGGCATGCTGAATTATTTATACAGTTAATTCAATGACAAAAACCTCACCATAGGCCTCATCGAGATATCACTGCTTGTCACAGCTTGTACATCTGAGTTTAAGTTAGCAGCACTCTGACAGGAAAGGCACCGGAGAGGGAGTTAAGATGGTGCTAAGCTCCTCCAACAGTCTGAGCTGCAAAGAAGTCCTGACTCGGCTTTAACTTAGAAGGAAGAAACAAGAAACGTTGATCTAACTTAAACTGGCAGCACAAGATTAGCTCTCCTTTCCTTATTCCCAAATCTTTCCAGAAGCAAATTAAGTGACGTGGGATTCCTCTTGAAGATTTCACATCTGTTATTGGAGATGCACTTGTTTTTTTTTTTTTTTTTTACCTTCTCTGAATGGTTACAAAAACTTAATCATACATAGGCTTAACGCACAGCAAAAAGCAAAATTTTGGAATATCACATATAAGAAAAATGATGTGCACAGCTTCATTTTAAGACGGCTTCTGAACACCATTAGAAGGCCTAAAAAAGCATCCCATAGAAACAGTGGTATATATTATTGCTAAAATATCTAGGACCTTTTAACATCAGTTTCCCTTCACCACTTGAGGGAATTTCTGAACATCTCCAGATGCTTGGACTCCAAAACTGTGCTATATCTTTCTTTGGAAAGTTAGCTGACACTTGAGTTACTGGTTTCTCTTTGTTTTCTTTTAAACTCCAACAAGTTAATTTTCTTCAGTGCTTACTCTTCATCAAATACTGGTTGTACTACAGATTTGATTCACAATGCATATCAGAATGGTCACCTTGTCCTGGCACCCAGCACCTGAGAGGTGCTTTCTGTACCCAGCAGGGGACAATGCTGTTTCCCAACAAAACTCCTGAGCACACGCTCAGCAGAGGGCATCCTTACACTTCATTAGCTTTAGGAGCCAGCCACTTTCAGAGCGGAATTCCTGGAAATACTTCTTTTTCCAATAAACATTTCAGACTTATGATTAAAATGGAGTGGGGGGGCGGGGGGGGAGGAGCAGCTCCAACAAGCCCTGAGGGTGAAAGGGCCTTTGATCACTCTAAGGGCAAATTAGTTAATTTATCATGATCCGATTTTAATTATGTGTAGTATTAATATACCCAAGGTGAAAGAATTAGAGATGCTCTATCAGATTATCAAAAGAATAGGTCTTCCCTGTGCCAATATAGAAGTATTTTAATTGAGCTCTAAAACTGCATGCAGAATGGCTTCCATGGACAGACTATTCCACAGCCCAGTACATCTTATTACCAGTTTTTATCTAATATTAACTCAAATTTTCACTTTTATAGCTTGATCTAATTGCTGTTATATTGGCATACGTTGTTCAAAATAATTCCTCAGAAGTCCTGGTGCTAACAAGAAAGAAACGCTTTTAATCCTCTTTCAGCCCTACTCCTCAATTGGCTCAGCCTAGCTGGAAAGGCTCCCTGTGAACTGCCTGGATATCCATTGTAACATTGATTTTAGAGCAAACCATGAGCACGGCAGAAAATCTTCAGAACCTTAAACATGAAACAAAGCTGTTTTTCTGGAAAAACCAGATTGTAAATCCCAAATTGTGATAAGATAGAAAAAAAACCCCAGGCTTCTGTTCTGAATGCCAAAAAACTCCCCAGTGAGGTTTTAAGTGCCCTGGACTAGGGTACTGGTAGAGCAACAGCTCCCCTTCCCCTGCCCACCCAGGACAGCACAGCACAGCTCCAGCAGTGCACTGAGCACCTGGGGACCCTCAGGCCTGGGGATGCTGGCAGGGTAGGTGCTCCAACTGCAACCCACATCTCCAGCAGAGATGACTGACAGGGCTCCGTGATAAAACAAGCTTTAAACTACGTCCATTCAGTGCTTTTTAACCAGGGAATCTGCAGTCACTAAATTTCTTGCTTTGCCTTCTCAGTGGGTTGTAAGAGCGTGCTATTGCAGTAACACATCCCACGGGGGACGGCGTGAGGATAAGCTGACTAATGTGTGTAAAGACGATTAGAGGCTGACACGAAGTTTTAACAAAATCACATACAAGCATACTCATTAGCTCTTGTCAAACTTATATAATGTCTAGTTTCAATACAGATTTTATACTTGAGTCTACATGACTCACTCTGGCCCCCATCCACAACAGATTTCAACCACTCGTTACATTTTGTGCTCTAAAACTGACTATTGTGCAGGCTCTGGGAAGGTACTTTCTGTGCCAGGAGTATTCTGGGTATTTATATTGAG